AGCACGTGGTGCTCTTGCATTAATGATTTGTTCACATTTAATGAATAAATCATTAATGTAAGAGCTGGTTTTGGCATGACTCAGTTTCTCCAGGCTGGCAGCTGGGGGATATTCCAGGTCCCTTCTGATTTGGTTCAGTGTCTCTGAAGGTGTTTAGCTGCTTCTCACCCTCTTTGCTATAACCAGGTGGAATTAAACCATGTTTACAAAACAAAAATCATCATTTTCTGCTGTTCTGCAGTGGGTGGTTAAAACAGCTCATCCCCTCAGTTTTCTGGTACCTCCAAGTTTTCTGCAATGCTTCCTGTGCCTGATGCCAGCAGGTAGAGAAGCAAGGGAGGATGCATTTCCTAGAGAGAGGCAGGTATTCACTGCTGCTGCCCCTTATTTGTTATAGTGGCACAGAGCATCCACCAGCACCAGGAGCCAGCTCTGAAATGAGCTGCTGAGATTTTCCTGGTGGGAACTTTTTCTGCATGTCACGTGGTGAAACTTCATCTTATCTGTTTTTCCTCACACTCTGGTTTCTGAGCTTTTATTATAACAGAGCACTGACTCTTCTGAATATTTGATTAATGGAAACTGGCCTTTTGCATGGGTGCACAGTGCAATATTTCATATTTGGTATTAGGCGCTGTGGTGAGCCCAGCAATTCTGCAGAGATAGAGATTATGCAGCACAATGATAAAGTATAAAAGGTGATGTGAAGTTCACAAGGGAGGAAGGAAGAATAAAAAGAAGGAAACCATAGACAAAGGTGTCTGGGTTTTTACAGCTTCTTGATACAGCAGCTGCATTACAATTCTAAAGTACAAGTGCAGCAGAAGCACTGAAACACCAGACTGAATGAGGCAAATTTGCCTTTAGGACAAACCTCCAATTTATTGACATTTGTATAAGCATGTGGTGATCTACAGATAAAACCCCCCTGGAGAGCTCTCTGGCATTGTTGTAACAGGCCAGCGGAAATTTCCAGATCCAGGCAGCAGTAGCTGGGATGGATGGATATCCTTTGGTTATCCTTCTCCCTCCTTAGAAAGCGAGAAATGCCTGGCTCAGATAAAATAAGTGTATAAATCATTGCAAATGTGTATAATATTTATGGTGCTAATTTATAATGTTGGATTTATCTCCTGCCTGGTGAGAGAGAGTTTTTTCTGATGCCCTTAGTGGCTGCTGCTTCCCAGTTTTTATCACTTGTTGTCATTTTTTATATCACTTGAAAGGCTATGTAGGAAAGTGGAATTTGTATCAGCACGTTACAGTATAGTTAAAAATAATTTTGGTGGTTGTCCAGGTTTCCTCCTGAAGGAACAGAGGGCTTTCTCTCAGAGGACTGGTTAATTGGGACTTTGCCGAAAGGTAGAAATCTTTTTCAAAATCTGAAGTGAGTGAAGGACTTGGCAAGGCAGAAGATGAAACAGTATAAAACGCAATCCTAAATTCTGAAACTGTGCCCAGTTTCAAAAGTGGTCTCCCCTGGGAGGATAAATAATCTTCCCTTAAGAAATGTGTTTTCCTTTTTGATATGGAGAACTGTGATCAAAACTCCTCCAATTTGTTCACCTTGGTGGGAAGTTGTAGCTTTCTCTGGAGCATAATGAGGAGCAGTTGTGCTGGTGCAAGCACTGGTGGGCATGGAGCAAGGTCGGAGTTGGGGTAGGAGGAAAGTCATCCAACCTACAGTGCTTGCGCTGCAATTTTTAGACAGTTGTGAGTGAGCTGCGATACTTTTTCTTCTTTTTTGAAATACATCTGGACAAATTACCATCTAAACCCTGAGTTATGTTCAGGCCTTGTTCTTTGAGATGGTGTTCCTGAGGCCAGCAAGACAGCGCACCTACCAAGGCATCAGGTTAAACCCTTTTACCTGAACCCCAGGTGTGAATTATTCAAAGCTGCCTCATTAGTATTCATCTATATAACCTCACTTGTCACTCATCAGAGGTTATATTTTCCATCTATGGCCAATTCTTCCTTTCCATGTCTGGATCTCCCAAACCCTTGTATTTTTTAATAAGCATTGAATTACAGTGGCACAACTGATGGGATCTCTTCTCCTCTCTAATTTCTGCTGGTACTGGAGCTTTTAGTTTTTATCCATGCCTCCTAAATGCCAAGTAAACTGCAGCACAAGCTTTTATGGATAAGAGAGCCCATGAAGAACTCAGAGAAGCCATTTGCTGGGAAGAGCTTTTTTTTTTCCAAGGTTACACTCTGCAGCAGCCTGAAATCAGACTGTGCAGACTGGAGTGCTTTGGTCCCATTTGGTCTGGAGAGATGAGTGGTTTGGAGGAAGCAGTGAGGGACAGGTTGGTGGTGAGTGATTGAAGCAGGAGGTGATCTGTGAAGGTAGGGACAGATGGAGCGTGCAGGTGTTCAGCTGCCGAGGGCTTGGCGGGGAGCTGGGAAACTTGAGGCTCTTCTACTAAAAAGTTACAAGAATTCAAACATAGCAGATTTTTTTTAGGTTGGGTTTTTTCCTTTGTTATTTGGAAGCTGTGTTTCTATGTGTACCTTATCGGATGCATGAGAGCCCCTTGCAAAATCATCAGGTGATAAAAGGGATGCTGCTGGGGCTGGTGGGTGCTCCAGCATGACTTTTCCTGGTTTGGACAGCAATGGATGTTGCCTGTCTGCCCTCTTTGTTCTTGTTTTGGGTGTTGCAGTCCTTTAAAAACCAAACACTATTCAGGAATGGGGGCTTCTGCCCAACAATGCCCCAGGGTCTTAGCAAGGTCTCTAATGTGGTGGGGAAGGTGGCAGGGAAGGGAGAGAGATTCAGAGAGGAGAAGGGAAGCCCAGCATGATGCCAGGATCTGGCTGAAGGGAGCAGGAAGCAATGTCTGCAGGGAGTAGCAGGGGGATTTTGTGACATCCCATGTCCTTGGTCTTAACCTGAATACTCTTCCTAAGATGGGGCACAGGAATGGTGCCTGGGCACCTGAAATGGGCTCTCCTGGAAACCCTCATGGTCCGTGGACTGATAAAAATTCCCCAGGAAAGGGAGAACTAAAACCAAAATAGATTCCTATCTGCCTGCCTGCTTCTGCTTCCTCTGACTTTTGAACCTGTTTCAGGTGCATCCTGACACTGAAATGGACAGGTTTAAAATTCCCAGGAAAATTTGTCAGAAGAGATTGTGGGCTGAAAGACGGACACCTAACCACCACCATCCATAGCAGGCATTGTAAACTTTTGTTTTTCCTGGTGCATATTTTGCCTGCTGGCACCAGGACAGCTGTGCAGATGTTTTGCCCAGTGGTCATGCCTTCAGCACAGCTGGGATTGTGTTCTGATGGGGGAGAAGCTTTGTTAAGCCAGGTTGGGCCATGCTCTGCCATTGCAGAGGCACTCACAGGTGGTGGGAAGGTTTTGGCAGCTGCAGGCATCAGGGGAAAATCCTTTGTTTTCATACATCCAAAATGATAGTGTGAGAAAACTAATTTTTATCATCCCCAAATTTCCCTCAGTACTACTCAGGTTCATTCTGAATCTAGATTGAATGCAAGTAGTGCATCCAAGTTAATTACTAAATTAAAACATTTTAGGAAATAATGAATTTACACATAATAAGTACAAATTGTTTAAAGGTCACTGTGCAAGGACTGTTTAAAAATCTATTAAAGATCTTGCATCCACAAGATAATGTGATCAAATTGTTTGCTCATTCAGCAGCGAGCCTCTCTGAGTTACTCAGATTGATTCTTGGGTAAAAGGAAGTGGAAGGGGCCCTTTCAATTACTTATTTTAACATTTCATTTCACTTTTAAGGTAATGTAGAAGCTAGAGATCCAGCCTTGATTGCTATTGCAATGCTGACAGTGACAATTATGAATCTGTAGCATCCAATGGAAAAATTGAATCTGCTCTGTCTCTGGCACTGCTTTGTGTAATGTGGTTTTTGATTCAAAATGTTAGCATGTCTCTGTCCTTGTCTGAAGCAGGGCAGACCTGCAAGGGGCTTCTCAAGCTTTTTGTGCCAGATCTGCCTCTTCTCTAGCCTGTGTTCTTCCCACAGCCGGGCAATTCCAGTCTCTGCTGTGGGAGTCCCACATCTGGTTGTATACTCCATATTCATCCTTGTGTTCTCTAAAACTGACAGCAAAGCTTTCACTGGTGGAATGAAGGGCTGGTACTGGACTGGACAGGGAGTTTGTCCTGTTTAACTTTAGGACTGGCACCTCTGTAGGAGGGAGAGAAGAGAATGAAGGGTTGGGTTTAGGGTGCCTGAATTGCTGGTTGATGGGATGACAGGCTGCCTATGGAAGTTGTGAAATAATCATCCCCAGAAGTGTTCAAAAACCACATAAATGTGGTCCTCAGGGACATGGCTGGACCTGGAAATGCTAGGCTAATGGTTGGACTCTGTGATCTTAGAAGTCTTTCCCAGCCTTAAGGATTCTATGATTCTGTGTGGAAGCCCTTAATGCCATTACACAGGGCAATTTCTGTGCTGAGCTCAATATTGCCATTGCAACTATTCTTTAGCTACAATGCCTTCTCCTGGGCCATTCCACTCTGGTTTTCCCCTCCCTCCACAACATCAGTGCAGCAGATGGGGAGGAGGAAGCAGGGACCAGCTGAAATCTGAGAATTGCTGTTCCCATTACCACAACTTTGAGCTCACAACACCCAAGTGCCTTCCAATTTTTTCCAGAATCAGTTGCTATTATCTTTGCTTCTCTGGCTGAATGAACCAACACAATTTTATTAAATTAGCCATTTGTTATGTCTCTTGTACACCATGGAAAGCAATTTTGGAGACTAATGATTGCAAGGCCCCTCACAATAGCAGTGTGAACACTCCCTGCTGTAGGCAGCCTTGCTGAGGACAGCGTCACCAGCACTGACATGGAGAGGGAAGAGATGGCAGAGCAGTGGTGACACACAGCAAGACAGAAATCACCTGAACCCAGGTCAAGCAGCAGCAGGAAGATGTTCCTTTATGTAAAACCAGACCCTGCATGAAGTAATGTTATATTTCCTCTATCTCACAGACCACTTTGTCTTGGCTAGTTGCCCTTTGGGAAAGGTGCTGTGGCTGTTTCAGCAGACAAATGCCTGACCCCTCCAGCTTGCCCAAACCACATCCATCAGAAAGGTAAACCAAGCAGAATTCATGAATATTCTCCTCTCCTTCTATTACGATAGAAAGACAAAGCCCTTGAAGAAAGCAATAGAGACTGAAAATAAAAAAATACGATTTTTTAAAAAGCAATAGATGGAGGGAAGGATGGCAAGCCAAGTGGCGGAGTCAGGAAATGTCTTTCCTTGAGGAGGAGGGAGGGAAGTAAGTGCAGCTCTGGCAGAGATGGCAGCTGATAGGCAATATTTGTGCTACTGCACCCCCTTTGCTCTGCCTTGGAGCACCCCTGTTCCATGCTGAAGCAACTCCTGCTTTATTTTCCATATCTTATGTTGGATGGTGTAAGAGGCAGGTGTCTGCCAGCCCCTGCACTGTTATCCTCCACCTGGCACACAATCCTTTTTCTGCAGCACCTGTGAATCAGCTTTTCTATTCCCAGAGCTTCCAGAGATGGTAGCTCTAACAATGATGCCTTACCCTGGGTCCTGTCTCTGCAAGGAGGTGGAGTTAGGAGTGGCACCCCTTCCAGAAGGTCACTGGGCTCCCCTTCTGCAGAGGCACCAGGATATTTATGGGGCACCTCGCAGCATTTCTGTCAGGATCCCTTCTCCTAATAAATGTCTTAGAGACTTTGAGCTTGGTGCACAAGAAAGATTGTAAAGCCTGCACAATAAATCTGCTTGTATTAATTCAATGGCTCTCTTGTGCAAAGCCTTTTTACGCTGCCAGTGGCCAATAAACACAAAGCAAAGTCAAAGCACAATGATATTTTGGAACAACTTGGGGGTGATGCATTATGCTGAGGAAGCCCTCACAGACAACATCAGCAGAATCAGAGCAGATGTTCAGCCCTAACAAATGATGAGCTTTTTCCTGTGAGCAGAGGCAAGGATGCCTAGCAGTGCTCCAGGTGGCCTGGTGAGCTGTTTCCAATAGAGGACAGTATTGCACAGTCACACTGCCTGCTTATGAGCTAGGACTCAGAATCCAAAGCTGTAACACTATCCAGTTTAAAAATCCTGTCCCAATTCCTTAATGGGCTGAGTTGTGCTGGTTTTTAAATTCTTGCTGCATAGTGTTTGATCCCAAACTTCCCCTGCTGTGCTGGGTTCTCTGGCAGCTCTGTCTGCTGCTGTTTCTTTGCCTTTTCTGACAGGTCCCAGCAATCTCACTGGCTCACAAGGAGTAAGACCAAACTGAAAGGGCAGAACATCAGTAATTCTGCCCCAGTGGAGTGAGTGAACAGTTGTACCTGCCTGCCTAAACTTGGCCATTTGTGTACCTTGCCTAATACATTCTTTGCTGTTGAAAAGACTTTGAGCATCCTTCTTGTTTGTCTTTTTCTGGAGTGTTTTGACTGGTCTCTTTAGTAGAATCTTGGCTATGCCAAAGGGAAATGTGTTACTTTTGTCCAGGGAGGTGTGCAGGAGAATTTCAGGGTGCTCTTCTAATTCAAACACTCATTACAAGGCTACCTGTAACTGCCAATGGTTGTATTTGTAAGAAAAGTGTCATCTGTAGTTCTTTCTTCCATAGAGTGGACTGAAAAGTCCATACATTAGTGTGAGATTGTGAATTTAGAAGCTGAATTGCTTGTTTGTGACTCTGTGGCGTGACCAGCAGCTTCTGCTCCTGGTGCTGGGGTCTGCCTCCTCTTAAGAGCACATGTGGTTCCTACTGCTGGAGATGCTTTTCTCTCTCAGGAAATGAAGTATTCTGAATTTTAACCACAAAACTCTTGTTTTTCCTTCTGGGAGGAGGCAGCTGCAGCACCCACTCACCCTTAACCTGAAGGGATGGACAAAAGTCCATCAGTCACTGCCAAATACCCAGGGAGAAGCCAGCAACACCTGGCATGAGATCAAATATTGCTTTCTCACCATATTCTGTACCAGAGGTTTATTTGGCAATAGAATCAGAAAAATAGGGAAAATCTTTTGACAAATTGGATAAATAGATGCTGCCAATAAACCCCATAAGCAAGAAAACCTTCTTTATTGCACTGTGAAGCCACATTTTATTGGGGAATTAATAGGAATAACCAAACTATTTTAGTGGCTGACTGGGAACAGTATATTAGTAGGAGTATTAATAAGTGTGGAGTGACAGGAGACTTGTAACAGTGGGAAAATGAGATATAGTATTTATCCCTAGTGCAAAATCTCTTTTATTATTAAAGACATTGGGTTAACTAGGGATAGATTTAATACTTCAACTCTATTTTTATTGGATAATTAGTAGTGAGCAATCCCAACCCTGGGAGAAGGACAGAAATCTGAAAATCAAGGAAGTTGTGAAAGGAGGGAGAAAAAAGGAAAATAGATACTTGGTTTGGGGTTTTGCTTTCTAATTTTTTATGGAGTCAGCCACAATATTAAATGTTGCTGGTGCAGGTGGAGCGACACATGAAGGAATGGAGAACAGCCCAGATTCCTACCTGTCCATGAGATTAACTCTTGCAGGAAGATTTTCTGCGTTTCCCTGAAATACCTCACGTGCCACCAGCTTGTGCACTGCCAGGTCTGATGCAAGGAAGAATAAAAACAATATATCAGCTGTGTAATGGTAAAGGTTTGTCTTAAGTTTTGCTTCCAGTTAGCAGGAACAAAGAATGTGTGATGTGATTTAAAAGAATGAGGGTAAGATCTGAATGCTGGGAGTGGAAATTTGGAAAGGCTCTGGAGGCAGTAAGAGTTGAGGGAGGACAGAGAGGATATGCAGCATTTTGGGCAGCTGGAAATGTAAACCACCCTTCCTTGGGCTAATTGTGCAGAAAAAGAGCCTGGTGCTGCAGTTTTCTCTGCAAGATGGGGTAATTGTGCAGCAGCACCAGCATTTACTGACTATGGAGTCTGCTTGTTTCCCCCCATTTTTTATTATCAGCAAAACCTTAATTACAGCTCACCTGCCACCTTCTGCCTACATTTACAATGCAATAAATTTTTGGTCTCCCTATGTAATCTGCATCTCAAACAGTGCTGGGCTCTGGCAATGGGCATTATTGATTCTTTGAAGAAATTAGAACAGCATTTGTTCCAAGGAAAATGGGGATGGAGAGGTGTACATGTGCACATGCCAAGTATTAAAATGTTCCCTCTCTCCACCAGCACTCACTTGTCTGTGCTTTATTGAGCAACACATTTCCAGGTTGGAAACCCAGTACAATTATTTTAAAGTGACTGATGGGAGTCAGGAGGAGCAGGAAGAGGAGTTTGGACTGAATTTGATTCCTTACTTTCCAAAACCAGTAATTTTTTTGGGGTTTTTTTTTTGTTTGGGGTTTGTTGGTTTTTTTGCTTTTTTCCTTCTCTTGCTTGTAGGACTGTTTAAAATGGAATGCAGGAAAAGATAGTCGTTTAATGATTTAAAAAGTGAGAAATCACTTTGCAACATTTAACTGATTTTTTTTCCTGTTTGAGTATAGGAGCAGATGTGGCTGTGAACAGTAATTAAAGGTGGAATCAATGGGTTCCTGACTGTTGGGAAGTTAAAAATAGCTAGAAATAGAGCAAATTAATTATTTGAAAAATATTGCCTGTCAGATTACCACTACCTCGAAAATATGTACAACACAATTCATTAAAAGAGTCTGGAAATGGAAATTGGCTTCTTGTTTAAAGCTTGTGTTAATTTCTCATTAATATTCATCGACTTAACGAAGGCCATAACTACTGCAGCATCTGACTGACCCTAGATGAGGCTCTGTGTGCTCTAGTGCTCTCTACAGAGGTTTCCCAAATACTTTAATTTAATAAATGGTACAGCCACATTCTGATCTGCTGGGAGTGAGATCAGTGATGAGCACCCAGTCATGATTGTCAGGGGCTGGGGAATGCTCAGCCCCGAGGGGTCACAAGCAGGGCATGGGGGAGCTCTCTGTTATTGCCAGGGATGAAAGAGTTAAACGCTGTGAGCAGGACAGAGCTGTTGGAGTGACGGTGACAGGCAGTGACTCCACTGCTCTCTCTGGTGATGCAGAGACCAGTCAGGAGGGTGATGAGAGCCCTTCCATCACTGATGCTGAAGGCAGAGCTTGCTGTGTCCCAGCTCCTGCTCCTCAGGGCCCTGCACACAGGGGGTGGGAGAGGGGCAAACCTGCCCCAGCGTGGGTGCCAGGGACTGCAGCATTGCAGCTCCCAAGGGCTCGTCCTGAGCAAGAATGATGTCCTTGATCTTTGATAGTGCTGGCTATTGACTGTTGATAATGATGATTTATCTCTAGGGTTAAGCAGATGGAATATTAAGATTGTACGTGGTGGAGAGCAAACCTGATTTTAAACGTGCTGCATCTTATCCCCGTCCCTAGTGAGGAGAGGGAGAAAATGTCCTTAATTCTGTATCTGCTGTGTTTGTGTCCTTCAGAAAGCTCTCTAAAGAGAACAGCCTGCAGCATTATAATAAGATATTTTGGGTTGGAAGGGACCTCACAGAGCACCCATTTCCAAACCCCTGCCATGAGCAGGGACACCTTCCACTATCCCAAGGTGCTCCAAGCTCCATCCAACCTGGGCTTGAACACTTCCAGGGATGGGCAGCCACAGCTGCTCTGGGCAGCCTGTGCCAGGGCCTCACCACCCTCACAGTAAAGAGTAAAAGTAAAATGAATAAATAAATAAAAGTGCATATAAGTGTATCATACAAGATAGCTTTACATTTATTTTTGTCCCATTCATGCAGTATTTTCTGTTTCACTTTTGAACGTATGTGATACTGTAAGGGTTAAATCAAGGATATTTTTAGGTATTACTTTTAATATTCTCAGGTATTGCAGAAATAAGTCTGGGTATTTTGTTTTGTTTTTGATTCTTGTTTTGTTTTGTTTTTGTTGCTGCTAATATGAGATGGGATTCTTGGGTGTGGTACTAAATAGTGTTTAGCCAAGCAGGAGCAGGGAGATAAACTGGAATTCCAAACAGAAAGTCAGTGGAGTTGAATAAAAAAGAATTGTAGTTCAAGTGTTACCCAGGTGAATGAGCTATGCATTCTTGGCTCAAAAGTGTTTTTGAAAAATTCAGGTTTCAGAACCCCTTTTGTTTTAAAAATCAATAGCACTGACATGAAACCTGTACTTAAAAACAAAAAGAAAAAAGAGTGTTTAGATTCTGGTTCAGGCCCATCCTCAGCCCTTATATAATCAATAATAATAAAGGAATAAATCTAACAACAAACCTTATAGATTCTGAGAAAATGAAAAATATCATGCCTGGTTCCCCTGAGGAATTTCAGTTTATACTAACTGTTAACCAGGAGGAAGATGTTTCTCAAAATGAATTATACTGTCCTTGTCCAAAAGGTTCCCCTCAGTGTGCATGGTATATATGTGAGCATAAACCCTGTCATAAACCAGGGCTGGGTGGAGTGCAGTTCCCCCAGCATGGCTCTCTCCCCAGCAGACTCTCGCTTTCCAGGTGAGATAGAAATGGGATGCTGTGTTTTTAGAGCAATAATAAGATGTATGAGGCAGCCAGGTGAGTAGATTTTGGGGAAAAAAAAAAAATCAAAACCCCACAAACTAACAGAAAAACCTCACCACCACCACCACCCAATCCCCCGTCCTGCTTCTCATGTCTTCAAAGCCCTTCAGAACACTTAGGAAATTTGTGTTGAATTACCTTAATACAGTGTGCTTTATGTACCCACATGGAGTATAATCTGCAAATAACTTCCACAGGGTCTTATCTAGGAAAAACCATTCACAAAATTACCACACAAAGTGTTTTATCTGGCAAGCCAAGCTTTTTTTGTCCCATGTATTGATGCTGTTGAACACCTTAGATGCCAATATAAGTACCAGGAGATTCTGAATCTGTGATAAAAAAAAAACCACCCACAGTAATATTAAAAAGTTAGAAACAAATGAAGGGATCCTCCTGCAGCTGGACATTAGTTCTAAAATACATTCAGACTGATAGCATTGGCAGCTCTTATCTTTTTACTTGGGTGTAGAATTGCTAAATGTTTTCAAACCCTGGCAAACAAGGATACCAGTGCAGCTGAGATGAGTCATCTCAGTACCTAGAAGTAGCACAATTTACCTCAAATGACTGTGACGGAGAAGTGTTTGCAACATGAGGTGTATTCCATTTTCCTTGTCAAGGTGTGAATCAACAGAAAATAGTTGAAGACAGCAACATTAAAAAAATAAATACAGTGTTGAACATCAGAGCAGGAAAGCTGTGATGGTAGGGCAGGGCTGGTTGTGGTGCTGGAGCTCTGGTACCACCAACCCTTTTCATTTTTGGGACCTTTGTTTGGGATGTGTCACTGGGTCTGTGAGCAGCACCTGCTGCAGCCTGATGGATGCTCCAGCTGCAGATTTGGTGATCTCACCCTGAGCCCATTGCACACAAACAGCAAATGCTGGTGGTCATGCGTGGATACCAGTCAGCCAGGGCAGCTTGATGCCTCGGAGTGCAGGTCAGGCATCTCTGGTGTCCATTCTTCCACCTGCCTGCTTGGTTAGCTCCATTTTTTACCTTAATAATGTTCTCAGGACCACTTTGCCCCATCCCCGAGCTCAGCCCATTAGCTGGCAGCCCTTGATGTGGGCAATGGTTTGGAAAGCTGCTGCTAAACTCTGGGACCCAAATGAACAGTAAACAGCAGTGCAAGGATCACCATGTGGGGTCAAGAACCTTTATCTTTTGTGGATTTTTCCTACAGCACAGCTCTTTCTGGGCTGATGCAAACCAAACCCCAGCTTCAAAAGACCCTTTGTTTAATCAACTGATTTTTCTTTTTTATTTTATTATTGGTTTACACTTTTATGGATGTTGTTTTGCATTACATTTGTCTAGGCAGTGTTTCTTCCCCTACAGCTAGAACAGTCGAGTGATGTTTGAAATTTATAATGCTCTTTGATTAATATTAAATGTGGAGAACAAATACATTTGGAAGGTCTTTATCTTCTGATAGCTTTGGTTGTTTGAGTTGCTGGGGCTGGGGCCTGTGACAGCTCCCTGGGGATGTGTGGGGTGTCTTCCTTGTTTTCCAAGCCTCATTATGATTGAGCAGATGCTCTCAAGTTGCCTCAATATTCCTTTTTTCTGTTACATCTCTAATAGTTTAGGTATTTCTCAGTTCTTTAATATCTTACATTTTTATTTCTTTTTGTAGTTTCTGCTTTCACTTTTAAAATGAAAGGGTTTATAATTTTTAAGGTCCCCATCCACTGTTGTCTTTCATACAACAGGAGAAAGGCTCCCTTGTATATCAAAAGTCAAAGTTCGCTTTCTGTGCAGCATTGTATTAGGCAAAATTTTTCCTCAAATAGAAAACAAATATCTGTAACAACTCTGCTTTATCGCATTTGGAATTAATTTCATATTCCATTTTAAATTAATTTCATATTTTGGGGGAATGACAAATGCTAGGGGGAAAAGGTATTTTTGTGAGTGAAAGATGTATTAAGTATATATGAAAAGAAATGTTATACTTGTGCAAGGTTCTGAAATCTGTTATTTTCTGACCAGAAATCACTTCCTTCTGCTTACAAATTGAAGGCAATCAGTGGTATTACATGTTTCTGCTATCTTTCTTTCTTTCACAGATTTCCTCAGCATTCTGTGTCCAACTGTTTGCTCAGTGAGATAAGAAAAGTGCTATAGCTGTGAGTAAATACTCCAGGCTTTAAGGAAATCCTGAAGACTTGTTGCAGAATTACACAATGGGGGATTTGGGAACTGAGCACACTTCTGCCAGCACTGACCAGGATCAGAGGTTATCAGAGATGAAGGAGAGGATGCTCAGCAGTGATAAATGTGAGTGCTTTTGATATATTTCAGCTTCAGAGTGGAAGATGTTGGCTGTGGTGAATTAGTGGTGATTCTGAGGTGGGACTGACCTTGGACATGCTTGTGTGATATTTGGTTTATACCCTTGTCCAAGGCAGGTGTGTAGTTCTCTGTGTTACTGGCTTATAATTTCATTAAACTGTATTAATAATTAAAATGAACCAAAGCTAAAGATTGACATAAAACTTAGGTATGTTGGAGGGGTTAGGGAAGAGAAAACCTCCCTGTGCCATAGGGAAGAGCAAAGACTGAAAGTTACTGATGCTCCCACTCATTGTTTCATGTAATATCCAGGGTTGGACATAAATTGGTGGAGCTTTCAGTAGGGCTCAGAAAATGAGCAGTATTATCTGTCACAGCAAATCTCTTGTCATTGCTCACCTCTGCAAGTTACTTGTAAAGAAAAGAGCCTTCTTTTAGCCTCTAATATAGTTACATAGACAAATCAGTGCTTTGGTCCTTCCCTTTGCTGTAGCCTCCTGCAATTGTCTCTGTGAAGTCTTCACATTGGATGGCCTCTCCAGAGGCTTTAAATGAATTGCAGAACAAAATAAAACCGGAGCTTATGCTGTATGCATTTTTTATGACTGGAGCTTATCTTACCAGATACCAGAAGGAAACTCTGGCTGATGTTTCCTAACAGAAACGGAGAGACGTTGTTTCTCCAGGGTTGATGGATGCCATCAACCTTGCGCATGCATCTCGCCCAAACGTGACCTTGCTTAAGAGCAGAGCCATTTCTGAGCAGGGTTTTGAGCGTGGCCCAGCAGCAGGCTGGGTGCTGGGTGGCAGCTGAGGGAGGAGGGAAGGGCTGTGCTGTCGGGGCTGACGGCGCCGCCGCGGCCGCGTGGCTTTGATGGTAATTGGGTCGGGCAGATGTCTCCGACAGCTGTGGCTAATGGCCTGCCGTGCTGGGCAGGGACCAGACCTCCAAACTCCTTCTGCTCCGCAGAAAACGTTTGGGCTTGTGTGCATGGAAAAATAAAGCTTGCTCCTCATTTAGCTTTATTATTGAATTCCGCCCTCACTGCTAAATCAACAAATTGCTGGTGGTTTACACTTGGAAGCTGGTCTTTTCTGTGTAAGGTTGATTCTTTTTCTTTTGTTGTGGTGTTCCTAGGTGTGTTTTTTTTCTTTTATTTCATTTGTTTGAAATGGCTATTTAAATTATTGATAAGATCTTAAAACTGAGCTAATTCACTTCAATTTATCCAGCAGACAAAACTATTTATAATTAACGGAGAAGCAGAGGTCACTTCGGTGTGTAATAACTGCCAAGCCAAATGAATAACAATTATGCAGTTTTTTATCCTAAGCTAAAAATTATGCAGGTACTACCTTCTGAATAGCCTTGAAAGGATTAGCAAGAGGTTCAGGTGGTAAGCTGTTGGGAAAGAAGAAAAAAAATCCTTGGTGTGGGGGGGTCTCAAAAACTGTGCACTTATTTATCTGATTAGACTGGCTATGCTGGCACTAGAAACAAATAATCTTTTAAAATAAACCTTATCTTTAAATCATAGTGACAGCAGAAGCTATTGTGAGAACATGACCATACATAATTGAAAAGGACAAAGGGTGAGGGTTTTACATAAAAAGAATAGGATTTGAGTGTGGCTTTCTTCATCTGTCAGTGTTTGCTGGGCAGTTCCTAGGGCTGTTGATGTTCTTGGTTCTGGAGGAGACTACTGTGATCAGTCACATAACCTTTAGTTTTTCTGAACATTAAGACAGGGAGAAAATGTCCCTAAAATGTCCCCACCACCTTGCTATGTGTTCCTCTGGGGCTTGCATGCTATTTGAGGAATCAAGAAATGAAAGAATGGCTTTGCTCATACCCTGACTGGGTAACGTGCTTTTGTTTGCGCTGCATATTTTATTAGTGTGAAAGAAGGAGAGGTTAAAAGAAAAAAAATTAATGTAGGCTGCAATACTGAATTACTGCACCAAAGCTGAAATGGGTGTAAAAAGTAGCAACAATTGCATAATGGAACAATAAAAAAGCTTCTTTCTTTTTCTTGCAGGACATAATACCAGTTCACAACACTGTATAATTAGATTGCCACATCGCCCCTTGTAAAACCAGGAAGAAAAGAAACGTAGGGCTGCATTAAAACTCCTTTCATTTTCTAATGCCTTTAGAGAGCTATTGGACATAGAGGACTCGCTCTGGCAAAAAGCTCTAGTGAGCTATTAGGTTTTTAACTATTTTATAGGGTTTTTTTATTGTTGCCAGGCCTAGTTTTTCAGTACAATGACTTTGTCCTCTCTCCCCTTTCCAGCCTGTCGCACATTTATCAATCTTACAGATAACATTCACTATAAAGATAAGTCCAGGCTCTTATGAAGCATTGTGTCCTGCTGACAAATCTTTCCCTCCCCCCAGCGTTTTTTTAGTAAGTCTCACATGGCTTCTTTTATCTGATGATCTTCTGATACAAATTTCTTGTGTCAGCTCCAGATCTCACAGACAACAGGAACAAAACCCTGTCATGCAAGATGTGGACGCCATCACCTCTGGGCCAGGTTTTAGTGGAACACAGCAGAGGAGAGCAAAGACTTCTAGGTCAGAAGATGACCTTTCCTAAACAGTTAACCGTGAGCAAAGCCCACACCTTTTTCCCCTATTAATTCATATAAATGTTTTCTCTTCATAAAGACTGTAAAGATAAAATGCAAGCGGTCAGAGAAGAAGCACTCCATGTTGAAAAACAGCTTCATTTTCTCAGTGAAGCGGATAAAATTTACTTGTAAAAAACCCAGCTTTTGCCAAGGACAAATTGATGCAAAATCACTACCTTGCCGCAGGTTGATTAGAATTGTGTCTTTTCAAAGAAAAATAGTATTGCTTATTAGTGGATCTGCCAAATTTTGTCCTGAGTTAAATTTCTTAAAATCTGTAAAAATGTCAGAGTTCAGAGTTGCTATAAACATGCACAGGTGACAGTGATAAGTTGTGTTTAGCTCTAACTAGGAATTTTAAAATGATGTATAGTGGGTGCAGCTGAATGAAATCTTGCAAACTGATATCAGCAAGAAAAATGTTCCTGCTTAATGCAGTGGGGAAAAAAACAGAGAAAGTTGCGTCTTCCTCGTGTTTATTGTTTTTATGGTAGTGGGAGATGTAGTCTTAGCTGGGACTTAAGGATTGGTCCTGAGTGTTACCATGTACAAATCCTTCAAGGCTTGCCAGGCAGCTGGGGAGTGCAGTGGCACCAGCACAGTGAGCAGCAGGCAGGATGCTGACCCAGTAAGAGAACTCTCCTAACGTGTCCTGGTTCACCCCATCCGTGGTTAATTGGCTGTGACTGGTCTCCAGAGCAGGGCTCTTGGATAAACTAACTCATGTTGCAGTGGAGAGAACAGGACAAGCCTGTCTGGTTTCTTCCTTACCCATCCATCCTGAGCACTGGCCCTTGGGAGCAGAGATGAGATTTTCTTCCAAGCCATTGCAGCGACTTCTGGGGCCAAGGCTGGGTTGTCACCTCTGCCAACTTCCAAGAAATGTTTCTGTGACTTTTGCTTGGTCTTAATAGCAAAGTCCACAATGTTGCTTTGGCACTACTGAACACCTCAGCTGAGCATTTCAGTTTATATCTGTGTTTTGAATTGAAGAGGAGATTGAGAAGGATATGCTCTTTGCTTGCTAGGTTGAATTTCCTACATGAGCTACAGGGCTTTTAGCAGGTTGAGTATGTTGAGCTGACAGAGTAAGTCTGCACCACATTGTTCCAGAGACAAGACATTTCCAGCTGGCCTAGGCTGACATGATCTGTATATTTAATTAAATTTAATACCACAAATATCTGACAAGACATCATGAGGCACCTCTGTTAGACTTTAGCTTGCACACTTACTACACATGTATGAGTGTACATGCATGTAGGACATTTTTTATATATTAATAAGTGTAATATACCTATGGCTTTCAATCACTTCTACTATTGTTAAATATTATTTAACCTGATGTGTTGACTCTTGCTGCCAGCAGCAGAGCAGTTGAGCAGAGTGTTTGTTTGTAAGCATCTAGAAGGCAACAATAAGAAAAATGATTAACAAGAAGTCATGTCAAGCCTATTCAATTTTCATTTATAATAGCAACAATCCTTGTGGGTAGCAAGCCAGTTTCACATATCATTACCATAAGCAAATATTTAGAGGATAAGTTCAAATACAAGTGGAAAATTTTATTCTAACATTAGAATTTATCCTGCATGTGTAGCCTGCTCTGCAAAGAGGGGACTGGATGAGCAGAGAGGCAAGAGGACAGGGTTTATGCACAAAAAAATCTTGTGAACAAAACCTGGACAAACACAGTCATAGAATAAAGTAGAATATTTCACATGGAGGGAACCTTCCAAATGAAAAGTTTTCATGTGGCTAGGGCTAGAAAGGTTAAGTCTCAATTGAAATAAGGACAAATCAGTCTGGATAAGCAAGGAAAAAGGAAAAACTCAAACAATCAGCAAACCAGAAGAGCCAAAGTTATTTGACATCAGAGGGGTTTGCCCAGGCAGTGAGGACTGTTGCTGCAGGCAGATAAAGACTCTTGATCTTCTCCATAGCTAAAAATAATGCCATTTCCCAATGAGGGGCTGGGGTCTTGCTCTTTTTTTTTCTCCTTTTACATGTCCCTTTCTCTAGACAAGGCATCGAGGTCCCAGAGTGACCAAGCAGTGGCTGATGAGTGGCTGCCAGGGCTCGGCAGTGCAGTTGCTGGGAGGTGTGGGAATGGCCCCGGCTGCCTGCAGGAGAGGGGATGCTCTGAGAGGCAATGGAAGGGCTGTGTAAATGCCTGGGAATGGAGCCAGCGTTTCTGTAATGGCACTTGACACAAGAGCAAACACCAGAGAAAATCCAATGAAACTTTAAAGCGAAATGTCTCTTAATTGTTCGGCGGTCACAACCTCTCTCCATCAAACCCCTGCATAACGAGTTTCCCTTCAGCCCTACTTGGCCTTGTCTTTCCAAGCTAAAAATCTGAGCTTTCAAGCATGAGTGACAAAATTGTCAGTATTGTCTAGATTTGTGCAAAAGGACATGCTTTTGCTGCATACAGCAGCTCCTATAAAGAGGAACTTACCCAAGTTTGGGTCAATTTTTCTCTAAGAAGCCATTGCAGCAGAATTGGAAATGGTTTCAGGAAGGCAGCTTAGAGAACAGACATCAAGATGTTAATTATTACAGTCTTTCTGCACTAAATCACATGAGTTTACCCAGACTATAAAGCCTAGTGCTGCTGGGTGATCAGCTTCCAGAAACAACCAAAGATGACTTTTTTATTTATGTTTGATGTTTCTTGCTAATTTAAATGTCACAGCTCATATCTATGTCTCTGTTACTTCAAGGGTAGGCTACTCAAGTGTGAACTATAATAGTGCTGTATCTTAAACACACTTGAAAAGGTACTTCAATGTGGAATGCCTCTGTTTACATTAAAATGATATATTATTATTTATTATTTATATTGCAGTAATATCCAGCAGCTTCAGCCATCTATTAGGAAGCCTTTATGGTCAGGGTAAAGCAGACCATAAAGTAATGTTCCTACCCCTTCTAACTTTCAATTATAAGTCAATCCAGCCATGAATATATCAGCATGTTTTCACAGAAACCAGATATATGTGCTGTGGTGTTAAGGTGTCAGTGTTAAGCTGCCAATGGACTGAGATTTTACTACACCACAGGCTCCATCTTCCTTCTTCCATGCCAAAATAATCTCAGGCATTCAGGCTTGGGGCTACTCAGGTCCGTGAAACAGAAAGAGAAATTGAAAGAATATTTGGGTTTTAAATTTGCCTTATTTGCAAGTAACAACTATTTGATAATATAGGCCACCTTGTCAATATCCCATGAGACAATGGGGGCATCCCTGATGGAGGAGGATCATCTGAGTCTTATCTCTCTCTCCCTCTTTGTTTCCTGGAACTGAAAGTAGCCCACACCACATGGAAACCTTTTAGATCTATTTACTGAGAGATTTTTTTTTTCTGCCACAGATGTACAGACTGATTGGCTTTGACAGTGCCTTGTCTGATGAGAAAGGCCCTCTGCTAATAAGCTAATATTCTCAGTTGCACTCATAAATGATGCAGTGATCCTAACAGGCATTTCAGCTGTTTCCAAAACGTCCCTGATCCATATGTTTAATTGCACTCAGAAATGCTGCAGGGACAGGGAAGGTTTGCTATTCCTGTCAGGGAGCAGGTATGGCTGTTACATGTTGTTGCCCTTTTCCATTCTTCTGCACATCTTTTGCTGGATGAGCTGTGCTCATCTTCTGTCTTGTGTCGTGGAAGAAAAAAAGCCATAGAACTGCATGTGAAAAGATGTTTTATCTGCTTTGCCTTGAATAATGTCACATTTCTGGGTGCCTGGTGGATCGAAGACAGGTTCTTTGATATCAGTGCTCCCATGTGAGAGGATGTGATGCCCCAGTTCAGGGGGCATTGTGTGAGATGTGAGGGGCTGAAGTCTTGGGGATGTTAGACACGTGTTCCTGAGTATGTAGCTCTTAAACAAGTCATAGAAGATATGACAGGCCACCAAGAAGAATTCCACTGGCTTCCCCCCTCTCCCAGACCTAACTTAAAGGTTCAGGACTCATGTCTGGGCATAAGTGAGATGGCAGGGGATCCAGTATCACAAAGTCACCCTAAGACATTTGAATAGACTTCATAAAAAAATGGAGTCAAAATTGCCATCCTTCCCTGTTACACTTGCTAAAGGCCTGATTATGCTGGTTGCAGGAACAGCCAGGGGTCCTTGTGTTTTGTAAAAATAATACTTAACAGAAATCTTATAGTTTAAGAATTTGTCAGCATCTCAAGCAAGTTGTGTTGTCTGTTCCCTGACATTGGCTCTTGTTCCTCCTTTGTATCATGTATTATTGTTGTTTGGTTTTCTGCTACTGGAAGAAATTTGACCTATGAGATGGTAAATATTCATTTTTTCACTCCGTAGTGATAACTGATTGTTATTGGCATGGTGAAAAATAATGTCTTTACAGGCCTTTCTTAAAAATATCTTTGAAATGGGAATAAGGCTGTTAATAATGATTGTTATAATGATGTCATGATGGGGAGACACATTTGCAGATAATGTCAGAGGAACATCTGGATGTTAACAGTACATAGTGTAGTCTAATTATTCTGTGATGTAATAGATGGCAGATTTGGCAGATTTCTTACCCAATAGTCATTGAACCCACAGGAACAAGCACCTTTCCCTAACTGCATTTGTGGATTTCTTGGTGGAAATAATCTGTAACAGAGAGACATGGATAACTTAATTTAAATTAAAAGGAATAATAAGAAAGGTGAAATCCCCAGCTGATATTTTCTTTAGGAAGGCAAACTTGAGTGAGTAAGCAATTGGAATAAGTAGCTCATGAGAGGGGCTGTGCCAGATGTGGAAACCTGCCATTGAGAACCCTGCCCTCTATGAAAAACCATTGTACACAAAGTATGTATATATATATGTGTGTATATATATATGTATATATACATGTGTATATGTGTGTGTGTATATGTATATATATATATATATATACACACACACACACGTGCCTACCTTCTCTGTGGAGATGTAGGAAACTCAAAAGGGACAGAAGAGTGAGGTTAATTACGAGCTTAGAAACTTGCAGCTGGTTTGGTGCTATAAGGCAAAACCTCATCAGCCAGAAATGTCTAATGAAGAGAAAGATTCTGGTGTGGTGTTTGATCACAGGGTGATTATGAAGCACTAAAACAGTATGGCTGTATAAAAACCCAATGTACTGTAAGATTAAACAGCTGAATTATTTTCTCCATTTATACAGAAGCATTAATGTCTGAATACAGCACCAATCCCTTATAGTCAAAAGAGATGGATTCAAGCTGCAAAATATGTAAAGCAAAGTGTAGAGAGTTTGATAATTATGTGTGAGAAAGTATCATAAAGGAAGAAACTCAATGAGCCAAATGCATAGCTTATTTGTCCCAGCAAAATCAAAACTTGGAAGGTTT